CAAGTTTATAATTATTTTTAAAGTTCCAGGATTTGGATCCAGAAATCTGTATGTTTAGAAATATCCAGAGATTATTCTGATGTAAAGCCAAATTTGGCCTCAACTATCCCACTTTAGGAAAAGACTGATACATAAATGCGTATGTCACTTCAAAAATCTAGTAGGTATCATAGTTTTTACACTAAATTTAGGCAAAGCCTCAGAATCATTTTCAACAAAACATTGTAGGTAGTCACTGCCACTCCATCGGATGTCAGCGTTTCCCAACTTGTTCTTTTCTTTTTCTTTTTTTTTTTTTTTTTTTTTTTTTTTTGTTGAGACAGAATCTTGCTCTGTCGCCCAGGCTGGAGTGCGGTGGTGTGATATTGGCTCACTGCAACCTCCGCCTCCCAGATTTCAGTAATTCTCCTGCCTCAGCTGGGATTACAGGCATGTGCCCCCACGACCAGCTAATTTTTGTATTTTTTTGGTAGAGATGGGGTTTCACCATGTTGGCCAGGGTGGTCCTGAACTCCTGGCCTCAAGTGATCCACCCGCCTCGGCCTCCAAAAGTGCTGGGATTACAAGCGTAAGCCACCATTCCCAGCCTCTTCCCAATTTGTTCTATGTAAAGGCAATCCCAGTCAAAATTCCAGCAAGCTATTTTGTGGATATCAACCAACAGATTCTACTGTTTACATGAGGAGGTAAAAGACCCAGAATAGCCAGTTTCTTATTGGGGGATAACAAAGTCCAGAAAAGGAAATGGACATACCTATACCATTGGGCCTAACATTTTCCTTTGTAAGTACATATCCAAGAGAAATGAAAACATATGTCCACACAAAAACTGGTAGATGAATGTTCCTAGCAGCATTATTCCTAACAGCCAAAAGTTGGAAACAATCAAATGTCCATCAACTGATGAATCGGTAAACAAATGGGTGAATGTATACAATGAAATATTATTCAGTCACAAAAAGGAATGAAGTTCTAGTGCATTCTACAACAGAAATGAACCTTGAAAACATTATGCAAGTGAAATAAGCCAGACAGAAAAGGTCATGTTTTGTATGATTCCATTTATACCCAGAATAGGTAAATCCAAAGGGACAGTGGTGGCCAGGTAAATCCAAAGCAGATCAGTGGCTGCCAGGGGCTGGAAGGAGGAGGACATGAGGAGTGATTGCTCAATGTGAAAATGCCATCCCCAAATTGCTGAGCAAGATCCCTCAGCTGACGGGACCATCAGCAGTTTGGAGTTGGCATTTTCCTTTGAAAGTTTAAATTCTCTCTTCTGAGTTATAATAAAAAAGACAGCCAGGATTTCTTGCACTTATAGTTATGCATATAATTTATAATATGACAGCATTAATAACAGAAGTTCTCATTCATTGCTAGGGGGAATGCAAATGGTACAGCCACTTTGGAAGACAGTTTGGCAGTTTTTTTAAAAACTAAATATACGCTTATCATATGATCCAGCAATAGCATTTCTTGGTATTTACCCAAATGAGTTGAAAACTTATGTCCACACAAAAACCTGCACATAGATGTTTATAGAAGCTTTATTCATAACTGCCAAAGCTTAGAAGCAACCAAGATGTCATTTGGTAGGTAAATGGATAAATAAACTGTGGTAGATCCAGACAATTGACTATTATTCAGCACTGAAAATAAATAAGCGACCCGGCGCAGTGGCTCATACCTGTAATCCTAGCACTTTGGGAGGCCAAGGCAGGTGGATCACTTGAAGTCAGGAGTTCAAAACCAGCCTGCTCAACATAGTGAAACCTCACCTCTACTAAAAATACAAAAAAATTAGCTGGGCATGGTAGCAGGCACCTGTAATCCCAGCTATTTGGGAGGCTGAGGCAGGAAAATTGCTTGAAACCGGGAGGCAGAGGTTGCAGTGAGCCAAGATCCTGCCACTGCATTCCAGCCTGGGCAACAGAGTAAGACTCCATCTCAACAAAACAATTAAATAGATAAATAAGCTATTGAGCCATGAAAAGCCATGGGAGAACCTTAAATGCACATTATTAAGTAAAAAAAAGTCCATCCAAAATGGCTACATATTATATGATTTCAAATACTTGACATTCTGGAAAAGGCGAAACTATGAGGACTAATGAGATGAGTCGTTGCCAGCAGCAGTGGGGAGGGAGGGATAAATAAGCAGAACACACGGGATTTGTAGGGCGGTGAAACTATTCTGTATAATACTACAATGGTGGATGCGTGTCATTGTACATTTGTCAAAACCACAGAATGTGCAACGTGGAGAATGAACCCTAATGCAAACTGTGGACTTTGGATGATAACGATGTGTCAGTGCAGGCTCAGTCGTAACAAATGGATCCATGGTGCCAGATGTTGATAGTGGGAGAAATGCATATTTGGGAACAGGGGCTATATGGGAACTCTTTCAGCTCAATTTTGCTATGAACCTAAAACTGCTCTAAAAAATAAAGTTTATTAATATTTTTTATTTTAGTTTTTGAGATGGAATTTTGCTTTTGTCACCCAGGCTGGAGTGCGATGGTGCCATCTCAGCTCACTGCAGCTCCCGCCTCCTGGGTTCAACCAATTCTCCTGCCTCAGCTTCCTGAGTAGCTGGAATTACAGGCACGTGCCACCACATCTGTAATTTTTATATTTTTAGTAGAGACGGTCGGGGCTTCACCATGTTGGCCAGGCTGGTCTCGAACTCCTGACATCAGGTGATCCACCCACCTCAGCCTCCCAAAGTGCTGGGATTATAGGCATGAGCTATTACGCCCAGCCCTATTAATATTTTTTAAATGGTTAGATGGAAATTTTATTTTACATGTATTTTACAAAAATTTAAAAATTTTTTTAAAAATAATACATTCAAAAATACATGGATAACATACCAGAGTTCAAGATAGATAATGGATTAATACAGCATGTTAAGAAAACTTCATTGATATGTTCTACATTGCAACTAAACTTCACCATTGCTCAACTTTTGTTGTAGTACACAAAGAATACCTTCAATCATCTGGAAAAAAGGTATTAAGGTACTTCTTCCTTTTCCAACTGTATAGTCTAGATTTTCTTCAGATATTTCACATGAAATATACAGCAACAGATTGACTGCAGAAGCAGATATGAGAAGTAGCTGTCTTCTATTAAAGCAGATATTAAAGAGATTCACAAAAATGCTGCTCTTCTCGTATTTTTTGTTTTGGAAAATATAGTTATTTTTATTTTGAAAATGTGATACGTATGTTAACATATAAAAGGCATATTACTTTCTTTTTTTTTTTTTTTTTTTTTTTTTTTTTGAGACAGAGCCTCCCTCTGTCACCCAGGCTAGAGTGTAATGGCACAACCTGGCTCACTGTAACCTCTGCCTCCTGGGTTCAAGTAATTCTCCTGCCTCAGCCTCCTAAGTAGCTAGGATTACAGGCATGCACCACCACATCTGGCTAATTTTTTTGTATTTTAGTAGCGATGGGGTTTCACCATGTTGGCCAGGCTGATCTCGAACTCCTGACCTCACTCAGGTGATCCACCTACCTCAGCCTCCCAAAGTGCTGGGATTTCAGATGTGAGCCACCACACCTGGCCATTACTTTCATTTTTAATGAATGAGATACACATTCTTACATTTCTACTTTAATTTCTAATATGTTAAACATTGATATAAATCCACATAAACAAAAGCTCTTTGAGAATCTCAATAATTGTTCATGTATAAGGGAGTTCTGAACCCAAAAACTTTGACAATCACTGCATTAAAACTTTGTACATGTTATGAACTGAATGTATCCCACAAAATTCTATGTTGAATCCCTAACCCCCAAGGTGACAGTATTTGGTTATGGCCTTTGGGAGGTAACCAGGGTTTCAGGTATAGAGCGGGACCCTCATGATGAGATTTGTGCCCTGATGAGACATCAGAGAATTTGCTCCTGCTCTCTCTTTCCTTGTACACAAAGAAAAGGTCCTGTGAGTGTGCAGGGAGAAGGTAGCTGTTTACAAGCCAGGAAGAGAACCCTCACCCCAGTCTAACCAGGCTGACACCCTGGCCTTGACCACACCTCTGCTATGCTGCAGAGGTAATTGTGGCAGGATAGGAAGAAGACTAGGAAGAGTTCTCAAAAATTTACAGTATCACCAGGGAGGCTTACATGCAAGTAAAATGTTCTGATATGCCCTTATTTTCCTCCTCTTATTACATACTATTCTGAATCTTGTCAGCCAGAGTCAGTACATGGCGTGTCTTACTTCCTCCCTCTCCACAATGTTCCATTTGCATTGTTTGGAGGTAACTACAGTTTATTTAGCAGTTCTCTTACTAATGAACTTTTATAGTTTTTCAATCATTTGGCTGTTAAGTACTATATTAGTCAGCTCTCACTGCCATAACGAAATAGTGTAGACTGCATGGCTTAAACAACAGAAATTTATTTACCTCATAGTTCTGGGGAACTATGAGCTGGAGTCTCCCTCGGTTGCCCACTGTTGCCCACTGCACTCCAGCCTGGGCAACAGAAGGGCCTCGGTCACACACAAAAAAAAATTTTTAATTTTTAAAAAGAAGACAGGATCTCTGTTGCCCGGGCTGGAGTGCAGTGGGGGCGATCTCGGCTCACTGCAGCCTCCACCTCCTGGACTCACGTGGTCCTCCTCCCTCAGCCTCCCGGGTAGCTGGGACCACAGGTGCGCACCACCACCTCGGAACATTTTTAATTTTTTTTTTTTTTTTAGAGATGGGGTCTTGCTGTGTTGCCCAGGCCACTCTCCAACTCCGAGGTCAATCAATCAGCTCGCCTCGGCCTCCCAAAGCCCTGGGATTACAGGTGTGAGCCCTGGCGCTGGGTCCTGAGTCGCTTCTCCATGGGACGGGGCGCCTAATCCCCTGGAAAAGGCCCCGTTGCCAGGGTGACAGGACCAAAGGGACCCAGGCAGGGAGGGCCCCGGGCTTTGCAAGGAGTCAGGCCGCAGTGTGACGAGCGTCCGGACTAGTGTCAGGGTCTGGGCTGGCTCACCGCGTCTTGACGCCAGGAGGCCGCAGAGCCGGGCCAGCAGCAACCAGAGGCGGAACATGGTGCGGCTTCGGGGTTGCCAGCTGGAAGCCGTTGGGACGCCGGGAGTTGCCGGGTACGCGCGGACGCCGGGGGCCGCTCCCCGTGCGTTCGTGGGGCAGCGTTCTCGGGAGGCCCCGGAGCCCGGGGTGCTCTCTGTGTTCAGCGTCCGGAACAATAAGAGCCCGCAGCGGGTGCCCCGAGACTAAAACAACCAGCTCCCTTCGCGGCGCACCCCGCCGCGTGGTTGCTGGAGCCACTGACCACCCAGCGCCCTCTGTCGCGCTCGCGCTCGCAGTCCTCCACTAACTTTTCGCTTTTGTGTTGATGGACCTTAAGAACTGACACGCTTACTCACAGTCAGCGTGTGCTTTTCTGCACCAGGCACTTCCCAGTTGCTTTGTTTTGTTTTTGAGACGGGGATGCTCACTATTCTGCCCAGGCTGGTCTCGAACTCCTGGGTTCAAGCGATCCTCCCTCCTCAATTTCCTGAGTAGCTGGGATTACAGGCATCCGCCATCGTTCGGGGCTTCCTCGGTCCCTTCAAAAGCGAATGTGTAATACTTTCTGAATTAAAATCTATATACACACCCAAATATATATTCATATTTGCCAAACCTGTTTCTAATATTTTTTCAAAACTAGCCAGATGTGTGAATATTCCAAAGAAGGGAAGAGTGAGCCGCTTTTCAATATGAAACGCCAGCTCTTCATATTTTTGAAGAGCGCCAGCTGCATTTTTTCCCCACTGACGCTGCCCAAATGGACTTCATAACCAGGCTTTTTCCTCCAGTCTGGTTCTCCGCAGGCCATTGGCTAAAACTCATGTGATGTCATTCTATCGTTCAGAAACTTCTCAGTGCAATAAATACTCATTTCATGTAGTGAAAGAGATAAAGATTCTTGCCCACAATTACAGTACTTACATTTCAGTAGAAAATTCTAGCCAAATGCCTCAGCATAGTAATTTTTCTGAACTCAGACCGGAACCTGCCACTTAATTTCTCCTATCCCCAGTGCTTTGGCAGCTCTGACTTTGGGTCTTTCCTAAACAATGCTTTATTCCCTGGAACTGCAATGCCTCCTCCTTCCCAGCCTCACACCAGGCCTCCATCTGTATGCATTAGCTTTTCATTCTTTTCAAAGAATGGATTAATTTCTCATACTATGTAATAGGCCAACACATAAACTAAAAGGCCTCATGGGAACAGAAAAATCTCACTTGAGGAATTAACACATTTAAAATGAAGATGTGATTTTTATGGATGCAAGCAATTTCAACAGGGAAATTGACAGCTGAAATTAATAACATGAACAAAAACAAGGCAACAGGCAGGTGCGGTGGCTCACACCTGTAATCCCAGCACTTAGGAAGGATGAGGTGGGTGGATCACCAGAGGTCAGGAGTTCAAAACCAGCCTGGTCAACATGGTGAAATCCCGTCTCTACTAACAAATACAAAAATTAGCCGGGTGTGGTGGTGGGCGCCTGAAATCCCAGCTACTTGGGGAGGCTGAGGAAGGAGAATCGCTTGAGCCCAGGAACTGGAGGTTGCAGTGAGCCGAGATTGTGCCATTGCACTCCAGCCTGGGTGACAAGAGCAAAACTCCATCTTGGCTGGGTGGAGGAATAGTGGAACAAGGCAACAAAAAAATACACCTAGTTTGTATCTCAATAGGAACAGCCAATGCTAAGCTAACATTGCTTTTAGGCAGCTGCTGAGCCACAGCTAGTTTCACCTTGCTTTGAAACAAACAGAAGAGCAATTACAGTAAATGCTTCAACTCATCAATTAGTGGTAAGTATTCTGAATGAATTTCTGGTTCTTATATCATTTTGTTCTTTCTTACTCCCCAACCTTTCGGTTTGTATCTTTAATAGGATTGATTTTGTATTATTCTTGTGTGTATGGCTCTCTTCATAACAGAGGATGTGCTTCTAAAAGTCAGGAAACATATCCTATCCAGAACTTAGATATCACTGTACCTAATACAGTGTCTGAAAAATGGTAGGTTTTAGTAAACATTTATGAAATTTAATGAAATCTGATTTGGGTTTAGAAAACCCAAATTGTGCTTAACTCTATGGTTGCAGACACAGGAGAAAGGGAGAATGCAATACTCTGAACAAGGTCAGTTTGACATACAGAGTCAAACGGAGATGTCAAATTTGCATAATTTACCCTTATTTATTTTTTTTGAAGATAGAAAGGACATCCTTTAATATTTTCAAATGTTGAAGTGGCATCCATGACCAAGAAAGTAAAAAACATAAAGTATATTAAAAAGTATATAAAAGTAAAAGAAGTTCAGATCCAATAGTCTTTTTAAAAACTTTCTTAACTAGTCAAAGATCCAAAGAACTATTTAATTCCAAGTGTTAAGTTACATAGTTAATACATTACCAACTGTAAAATTTCAGTGATATGCATTGCGATTGCAAAAATTGAGGCTACGTGAGTGAACGGCATAAACGTTTGAGTCTTATATGAATTCATTCAGAGATTTAAAATGAAATGATGGACCTTCATTTGAGATTGCCCACAATATTTAATATGTATACTTGATTGTTACAATAACATGCTGTCTTCAGAAAACTGAAATTTTTGCCTTCTTCAAAACTAATGTTTTCCAAAAGCCACTGTGCACACTTTGGCAAAAGTCCGACAATTAGTGAGATAATATCTATAAAAGTTTGACTAGAATTTTTATTTAAAATTATAACTTTTTAATTAATAAGATTATAAATAGTTGAGTAGGAAGCTAGTAGGAGACACAAAAGAATTTCAAGTATTTTATTTATTGTAAATGTTGTATTTGTATATGTATGTATACACAAACCAAAAACACTTTTAAAAAACTAATGAAATTCCGTTAATAAACCTATTATTAAACTTTATTATGAAAGGTTATGAAAAAAATTTTAGTGCTTAAAATTTTACTATCCATACCATTTCTGCCACAGTAAAAATTCCTTTTTAACACAGCTAAGATGATAACTCATAGATACCACAGTAACTTTTTTGTACATATTTAAGAAAACCATTTCTTCCTTCTTTCTCCAGCCTAATTTCTATGAAAATATTAGTGCCTAATATTTTACATGACCCAGCACACCTTAGTAAATGTAAACATTCTAAATGATTTAATAGCAAGCTTGAAAGTTCAGATTTTAAAGTGCTCATGAAATTCTCAAGTGGTTTTGTAACAGTTCAATTGATTGAAGTTTTTATAATTGTTCCTGCTTTATTATAGCCATGAATCAACAACATATTTGATTAGATCTATTAAATACTTCGTACCTTAAAGCTTATAATTTATTTAAAATAGTGCTATTGTGAAAGAATGTCATGCTTTAACATGATTCATAATAGAAATTCTAATATTAAATTAGTTTCTCTAAGAGTTATTATCTATAGTTGAAAGGTCATAAAAATGGAAGCGAGTAACTGTGTGTGAATACACACACCCTCTTTTAGTATACTTTGTACTTTCAAAATATTGTGACATCTTAATTGTGGTTCTTGTGCATTCTTTTGAAGACAACATTTGCTTATTCATGTAGTGAATGACAAGATTCTAGAGTATGATGATTATTAATTCGTGCATGATGAAAAATATTAGATATTATTGGCAGCTGATTAATCAGTTTTCACAGGTATTAGATTATCACATGTTCAATCAGGAACTACATTAATGATAACTAAGGTAAAAAATTCAGAATAACATTTAAACACATAATGACAAAAATCTTACACCAATAGTTAATTTGAGAATCACTGCAATAACATGTTCAAAATAACGTAATCCATGATTAGTACATTAACCTCACTGATGACTGAATAAGACTTATTCAATGATGGAAACGGAAATGTTATTGTAAATTCCCTGGCTTTACTGAATTTCCTTGTATTTCTCAACTCTCACAATCAGTTTCTGTTTTTCTGTGTTAGTAAAGTCTATTTTGTGGTATTTTGTTTTCATTCATAGTTTCAACAGGAAGAAAGGCTTTTCAAGAAAACATCAAGGAAAAAAAGTATTAGCTCAGTTCCCTGAAGACATTTGCAAAAAGAAGGTTAAAAAAATCAAGTGAGGGAACTATATAAAGGAGGTGCAGGAGCAGGACGGGCAGGAATTAAGTTTCCCTGAGATGATACTTTCGGTTGTGGTGGAGGTGGCCTGTGAGGGGAAAAGAGATAGTTAATAGCGTGTTTAGACTGGGTGAAATAATGCCATATTCATTACAAGCTCAACATAACACCATCCTCAACATCTCTGACAATAGGAAAGGGTACTTTACATTCTGAGATCAGTATTAAGGTGATATTCAATGGCTAAAGGGCTCCAATTAGAGTCTAAAATGGAATAACTACTTTAAATAATATTACTCCATAATCAACAATGTTGTATGAAGTTTCTAGTTTACATGTTTTTTCAAAAAAAAAAAAAAAAAAAAAAAAAAAAGCACATGAAATGGTAAAGATAAACTGTAAAAGACACCAAGTGATCAAGCACTTGCCTGTGCTGTTAGAATCTGAGGGCAGCAAATTACTGCTAGGTGTAAACCTAGCTGTTTATAGCTCCCTCAACATGAGATCCACTCTGAGAATTAAAAGTATTATGACTTCTACACCAGGTGTCCATCTCAAACCTCATACTTCCACCTGTGGACAGCCTCTCCTAACCTCATCATCCAATTCTAGTACACCTCTACTCCAATAACACACTAGAACACTACCTGGTGAATGTCTCCCTCATAATTTATATACTCTTCCCCTGATCCTCAGTTGGATTTCAATGTATTCTTACTGTATAATAAAGATTACATATGAAGATAGTCCTCAGAGTTACAATGCAATTGTAATTTGAAAGACTTTTGGGGGATGGGAGGGTCATATGCATTTTATGTAATACAAAATGAAGTAATAAATTATCTTCCTTTCTGATGATTTTAAGCCCATCCATTGAGTCATTTCAGTTCTTGTGTTTTTCAGTTCTAGAATTTGCATTGATTCTTTAAGTTTTTAGTTCTGTGGTGAAATTCTCAATACTGACTTTTAATTCCATGACATCATAGTTATTTTAAAGTCCATGTCTATTTACTGGATACCCTCTCAGTCTGTTTCTATGGCCTATTGTTTTTTGGTTTTAGTCATATTTTCTTTTACACTTGGCTTTTTTTGATCATGAGCAAAACATAAGAAATTGTAGAAATCAGTTGAAGGTCTAGTCCACTCTTACTTCTGGGTCCCAGC